GCTTTGTTGTGGTAGCTGATCTTCAAAGATGGCACCCAATGAACCAGGCTTCTGGGTATTTATGTCCTTTCTCCTTTCCTAGACTCTCCCAAACTGAATCAGACTGACCCTGTGACCAAAGAAATGCAACACTGAAAATATCAAAGTGTCACCATGCCAGTCTTGGCCCAATGCCCTAAGAAGTCTTGGTAGTTTCTGCTTTTATGCTTTTGGGAGCTCCAAGCTATCCTTGTTCTCATTGCCTCACACTAAAGCTATCAAAATTCAACACATCCAATACAGGCCCACATGCCCCATTTCTAATGCCATCCTTTGTCCTTACTAGAATGTGTACAAATCGGGGAATGACAAAAAGTTCTATTGTGGCCTACTGATGCCTTGGTTTAAAGGATCATTTGTGTCATCGATATTTTGAATTGTTCCTTTGTTGGGCATCCTGGAGGGAACTGCTGAATGGCTGGGAGGTACRCCTTTCTCCTATAAATGGGGGGCAGTTATCTGAAATGGGAGGATTCTCACAGATGAGTAATGTTCAGGAATGGCACGCTTAAGAGTTCACATGGAAGTTGATATTCTTGACAACCATGAGTTTGAATACTCCTTGAAAATCTCTATTATGCATCTGTTTGTGGACAGCAGTTTCTGGCCTTCCCTTTGTCTTTTAACACTTCTGGGTTCTTCTTCCAGGCACTTCAAGCTCTTCTGATCTCTCCCTTTCATTCCAAGTATCTACTTTCTTTTCCCTCAACTGTCCATCAGCTGAGTGTAGATCCATAGAAAACTGCAGATAGACTTCCAGGAGTTTTTTGCATAAAAAAATGAAACTAAGTGATGAAGATGCAACCATTGATATTTTAGGGGCAGTAGCTCAGCCTTATGTTTTATCAATGATACTGCTAAGCTGCTATAATCACAAGTATGGCTGAGTCCTCTTCCACCTGAGGTGAGTAATGAGTGGGAGCCTCATCTCCAGCTCCACTGAGTCTGACACCTAAAARGCAAAAAGTATTCTGAGACCAGCTCTGCACCCCGCAATATGGTCCATGCTTTCTAGCAGAAAACACTGTCTTGTCTTTCCCTATGCACAACAGGTTTAATCATACCTAATTAAGAGTATTCCGATTATGAAAGGGGCCTGCCTCATTTCCAGTGGTCATCCCACCCTCCTCCCAAGTTCCATTCTTATTTCTGTTTCCATTTGACAGAAACTGTAGAGACTTAGGTTTTTCTTTTTTTTCCCCCTCAAGCCTATACAAGTTTAAGAACAATGTTACCAAATCCTGAGAGGTAAAAATTTATTGATTTCTATCATATCAGCATGTTATGATATGGTCACGCCTGTTCACACAGCTGACTTCTTAGAGCCAAAAGAGGATTCTGTTTTTCCATTTAAAAATACATTTTTTCAGCAGGAAGAAACATTTTAAAAACGAACATTTTCATATTAAGTGGGTATTACAAACAACCCCCCCCCCAACTCATGAGGAATAGGGCTGGTCAGCGATAGATCTCTGGGTGCTTCAAATTTGCATTCCACCTCTGCCCCCAATCTGTTCTGTCTTCTACATAAAATACATCTGGGGGAAAAGAAATTAGAACCTCACCAAAACAGTAGCCTAAATCCAGCCAGAAAAAAGAGGTAGACTGAACTGTAACTATTGAACTTATTTGGTAGATTGTGCAAAATATTTTAAAACATTTAAAATTTTCAGTCGGATCAAACATATTCTACAAGGAACTGAACAACTGAGGTTTTATATGCTTAAAATAAAATCTTAGAGATGCCTATACCACAATTACTTTACTTCAAGAAATGAAAGCATAAAACCGAATTGAGAACTATATACTTCCCCTGTACTTCAGGCAAAGTTTGCTTTTGTCAGATTCCTCAAAATCTAAAGCTCATGTGGTAGGACTGATCTTAATGCTTTTCCTACCCTTCAATCCCCTGCTAGGGTCAATAATAGAAATTTTCTCAGAACAGTGAGCAAATTAACTGGAAGAAGTTTATTCAACATTAATAGTTAAAACAAAATGAAACAAAAAGAACAGGGCAATGGTGTGCTGGTGACATCTACAACTGGCTCCCAAGGGCCAATCATTAAATTTCAGGGTTTTGCCAGCAGTTCTTAAACAATTGTTATTAAAATTATATAAACTTACAATTAGTGCTAAAGCTAAAAAATTGTCTTGTATTATGGGTAAGAAAGAATTTAAGAGTAGATCACATCCTAGATTGAATGACAGTAAATTTCCTGGGAGATGAGCAAGTGGAGTAGGATATAATACCATAATTAAACTCATGTTGAAATGCAATTGTAGGTTGGCTAAAGGGTTCAGAAAAAAGCAACTAAGAATCTTGTGAGAATCAACTGGCTATGTGGAGTTTATATACAATGTTGATATTTTATTTATTTATTTTTTTGTGTCACAYATCCTTGCTATCAGGAAAATTTATAACAATTTTGTGTAACATATATGAATATATATTTTTTTCTGAGATAGGACCTTTAAACACTTATTGGCACACCAGGAGAATGAAGAGGAGAGGTTAGACCCTATGACCCAGGGAAGGAGGTTCAGAGTTTTCTCACTGGATGTTTCAGCCTGCTCTTCTCAGCATGCTACTGCAGGAGGGGCCCTAAGCACAGGCCTACAGGTATTAATGCCCAAAGAGCTCCAGTATGACACAGACCATCCCCACTGCTAAGAATTAAAGCACTGTACTTGGAAAAAATCAACTTTATTTTCTCTAGGTTAAAAAAAAATAGAACCAGCTATTAATTTTTGCTAAGAAAATGCTTCTTTTGGTGTTCATGTCTAAATTTCTGAAAATGCAACCTGGTTATTAAAATCATCCCGAATGCATTCATAAACCAGATCCATGTGTGACCAGCCCTTTACAAAAATTAATTACAGTTGCCACAGCCTTTACATTCATTCTTTTCATACATTACAACATGCAGATATACAAAGAAAGGTCAAACAAGTTGAAGTAAACATTACAGCATCAGGAAAATGAAAATCCATCTGTATAAAATAAATACAACTTTGTAATAACTGTAAAGAAAATGAAAGCAATTAACAAAAATAATGGCAGTTTAATGTATAACTGTCTCATTACCCAATCATAAAATAAGTTACTGTAAAATGCATAGACTCTTTACATGTAAAGAATTTGTGCATCACAGTCATGTGTCCAACAGTTTTACACAATAAAAATAAAGCCATTCAAAATGTGTGCATACTTTGCAATTAGAATACACTTAATATGTTTTGCTCTTTAAACTGTCTTAAAAATATTAAATGTAAAAATCCTCAGATGAACATTTTACAGAAAAACCCATATTTAATCTTCTATATGGCTACAGTCACCTTCCCCCAACAGATCAGCACCTCCAGCATTTTCCTAGGGCCCAGTTCCTAGTTGTTGGGGACTGGTGCAAAATGATTACAACAAAGCACCAAGCAATAACTGTTCCAGAGTACACTGGCTCTTCTGTGATACAGAATTTCACAACGTAGGTGTTTTGGTCCCAAACATCTTAGTCTCTACCCCTTATAAAATGAACTAGTATACCTGCTGCCCTGTGCTCCTTTTTGACTTTGCCTGGCATGTTAACACATGTAAAGCTCATAGCTCTGCAGGGCAAAAAAAAAAAAAAAAAAAAAAAAAGGAAAAAAATATAAATATTTTAAACAAACCATTTTTATCCATCCTTTGTGGACTAGAGCTGAGCACACTCAATGGTAACTCTGGAGTGAAGTCCTATGTAGTGACTTCAGAAAAAGAACAAAGAAAACAGTTAACTCTTCCTATTCAGTAGTGCAAATAAAACATTTCCTTTTTAAATATAAAAAAGAATACTAAGAAGACTACCCATGATTAAAGACTACATTCTATGATTATAACCAGGACCAACTAGTTTAGAAGAGTCTTCAGAGAAGTGATTGTCAAAAAACACTACTAAGACAAATCCACAAGAAGTAAGCAACATGAACAAAGAATGAAGGGCCATCCTCAGCATCAGCAGATGGCAGCAACACTAGGATGATGTTCTGAAGCTTACACTGGGTGATGTAAGATTTCATTTTGATAAAAAGGCTGATAACAATATCAGTACAACCTATTCTTGATAATCAGGGATGCCTTTTCCAGCCCATTCAGGCTTTGGAGTTTCCTCTTCCTCATAGCTCTCTGTCTTTCCATGTTATTTCACTACTCATTAACAGTCCTACATACACAGGCAAGAAAAAGCTAATAAACAATTCAAATCATTTTTTTTAAATTAGCAAGCATCCCTAGAAGGAAAAAAGAGTTTGATGAAAAGTAAAACTTCAAACTCCTTCAGGAATAAGATTTTTGGCTTCCTTATGACTTATAACTGGATTAAGTATCCAGTAATTAATTTTCCAGTAACCTTTAGTTCCTTTACTGTGAAAAATTAAGGATTGGTTGAATATCAAAAACCAAAAACTACTTAATGATATGACAGGTTTGAACTCAGCTATCTTTTTTTAAAAAAAAAATCTTCTGTTTAAATTCTCAACCAACTAGTTTGCTCCTCCAAAACATCATTTTCTACTCTGTAATTTTTCTTTACCCTCTATTGCTTTTAAGTCCATCTATCATGTGTATATTTCATCACCGATAATTGTTTCTGAAGTTAAGAGTGACTAGCTGGCTTGGTCACTTTTTGCAGTCACGGAATCTGCTTGTGGCCAAGCAGATGCTCTATCACTGTTTCTTGGTGATGCCAGGATCCCAACAGTGAGCTTCTCAACTCTATCTCCTGTGGGAATCTAGGCAGTCCAGCTGAGACCAAGAAGTGCTGAGATTCTAAAGAACCACTGGTATAACACTGGCATAGTTTTGTTTTCTTTCCCCTTGACAAAATACATGACCTCCTTTCATCTCACTTTACAAAGAAAGTTCAAATACGAATTTTTATTCAGCTCTGTATAGTGGCATATTGCTGCTTCCCCAGATTGCCATAGAAGAACACTGATTTTTCTCTTTATATTTCCTAGTACAGCAGGTGAACTCCAGTTACTGACAAGGAAAGCACTATCAAGGCTCTCAAACAAATACATTTGCAAACGGAAGAGAAAGAACATATTAGAAAGAATCAAAGAGGGGCAGGGCAGATCAAATACACATCTATTTACAACTCATGGATCAATTTTCAAAAATTAACTCACATCTATAAAGACTGTGGAAATGATACTGCACTTGAAAAATAAAGCATCTTACAGGAAAGTTTAATGTGTACAGTAAATTTAACAGTGTCACGTTCCTTTGGAGCACAGCGATGTCAAAAATGGCTCTAAGCCACATTTATGTATACATTTTTTTTTTTTWAAAAATAGGAGAACTGTTCACTCTACCCTGTGACTTGCTTTGCAATGAGGGAAAGGTCTACAAGCTAGGACTATGCATAACTATTTTTTAAGAGTGAGCAACCTCTCCCCAGATGGCTAATATCTCAAATGAACAATTCATTTCATCTTGTAATTAAGTAATGTTTGCTGGATCTCAACCAGAAGCATCACTGAGCTTCTCTTTGGCTTCCTATCATCACTGACACCTTACAAGTGAGACTGGTCTCACTTACTCATTGTCACTGTAGAACACATAATGAAATGCTTCAGTTTCAAGAAAATTGCATTTTATAACAATTGTTACCAAACCAAACATATCAAAACTGTTTTCTGCACTTTAATAGTATAATATAATATTCAATGAGGTATTTCAGTTAATGCATCCTTTCCCTTCACATATATTGAGTTATCCTAAAGATGAAGCTGCTGTGGGCTTTTATTTGGTGTTGCTTTATCTTTCCCACACAACTGTGGGAAAATTCACATCTTTTTTTTGGTTCACTGGAAAACAGAAACATTAGCCTTTATTTTTATTTTACAGCTTACTTTTCAGAATTGTTATTTTTGTAATTTGTGACAACAGGGGAGTCTATAGTGCTCAAATCACAGAAAACTACCACGGACTTATTAGATCTTAATCTTACAACCCTAAACTGAAAACATTCTCTATTTCAACACTGATGTAGGGCCAGCATTTTTTTGAGAAGAGTTTGGTTCTCCTGTGAGGTACATCACATAAACATATTGACCAAAAGGAAAAAAAAAAGTTTTCTAGAAATAACAGAAACTTGATGTTACCCTCTTCAAAAGCAATTGGAAGAGACTGGGAAGCCTTTTGTGCAGGCCTCTCCTGGTTACACCAACCCTGAGAGGGGCAGCTCCTTGATATAATGCTGGAACACACTGCTGTCTATACAGATATGGAGGGGAGCCACTTGAGAACCAGTCACCAGTAGAAGCCAATGTCTGGCTCTAGCTCTTGTTTTCCTAATGAACTAGTCTATTTTCCCTTAAATTTATCATCTAAATGTTTTATGTTAATTTGTTCATCCATCCCCAAATGCATTTAGTGATACTATGTCAAAGAGGGGTGCAGGGAGCCTCTAGTTACAAATAGGGTCACCCTGTCAGGGAGATGCCCAATGCAGGGTGGTGCTGGACAGCAGCTGCGGGCAAAACTGCAGAGACAGGAGAGCCCCTGGGGAAGCCGACTCACTGACGAGGCTTACTTTTGTCTTCAGGCTATGTTACTATCATTTGTTATATTGGCATCTGGTAAAAGTGCATTTTGTAAAATACAATTATCAATCTATAGTATGCCTTCTATACAAAAAGAGAAACAGGGTGCTGCCCCCACCCCACCCTACCCTGGTGGAAAGGAAAGCACTAGCRCATGTAAACACGGTGCTGGACTGAGCTAGCCTTCATAAAATCAGAGCCTATGCCAGGGGGTGTTCAGTGGACACTGGTTCCTCCCCACAGAGAATATCAACACTGCACCTGGTCAGGTGCTAAGGACTGAAGTTTGTTACCTCAAGCAACAGGGAAAACACTCTTTGGGAGGTGCCTCCAGCTCCCTCCCCTCATGGCTACTAGAACCACAGCCCAAATGGGTGGAGATGTGGGCACTGTGGCGCACTGCTCTAATAGGGACTGCTAGCTAGGAGAGGTGTAATTCTGAGCTTGAACTAAATGACCAGGTAGATCCTGTGGCAACAGTTTCTTTCAGACAGTCTTTCAGGATGATTTTTATGATTTCCTCTTCTCCAAATGTGATGTTTGCCTATATGTGGTAGAATGTATCTCTTTAAAACATGAAAAGTTCTTAAAATATATCAGCAGGTCATTATATTACTGATCCTCATTTTAATAGAGTTTTAAAATATCCCAAAGGGGGATAAATATTAATTCATCCACTGAATTTCCTTCGCTTCTTTTATATATTCTGATTTGCACATGTAAAATAATGCACACTCATGAAAGTCTGAACTCCTATGGTGACCTTGACAAGTCCAAGTCAATTCCTAAAATAGGCAATGGTAAAAATACTCAATGATGTTGTACCACATACAGGCTGACAACACTGCAAAAGAGTATATAAGAAATAACCACRTGTTGCTGAGGTTCATCTCCCTGGAAACAGCTTCCTTCTGACCCTTGACAGGTGGAAAGGCTCCTGAAAGACAAGACAGAAATATTGTTTACTGCAAAGGCAGGTCTCCTACAATAAAAGTTGAATATTAATTTAATGAGACTCATGGGGTCTTTTTGTTTGTTTGTTTTTTGAAAGCCTTCTATAACTTTCCATTGTTCCTGAAAAGAGATCTCATTTGAAATACAATTTCCAAGCCACTAGGTTCTTCCTCATTCCAGCCTTTGCCTTTATTCTCTCTGCTGGAATGCCCCTCYTCAGTGAATCCTTCCCATATCAGGAAAAAAAAAAAAATGCCACTCCTGGCCCTTGTCACTCACAGGTTTATTTCCTTCCTAAAATTTTCCCTAATCTGTAATGGGCTCATCTGTCCTTTTCTCTATCTATAGACTTTTACTGTTTGTCTTCCATAGGAGTAAAATTTGTATGAGAATAGTTATTCTGGTAGCTTTTTCCCCTTATCTGGAGACATTTCCATAGTGGCTGGGACACAGGATCTGTGAAACCGACACCACTAATCCATTTGAAAATAATTTTTTTTGCCACAAAAAGTGATTATATAACACCAATAATATTTTTAAAAGGCAGTAGGCTTTATGAAATATGTCTTAATAATAAAAAGGAAAAATACAAAGCAAACAGATGCCTCTAAATTCTTTTCTGGAAAGCCAGATCAATTTTACCTAAGGTCATCTTTAACACTCTTCAGCATTCAAACAATCTTTGTCCTTGCTGATAATCTCCCAGGGTAAGCTGATTCAAGAGAGGATTTGCTGCTCACAAGCAATTTACAGAGTGTACTTTCAAGTTTCAAGGTCTAATATGCAAATAGTTTTCTTAAAAAGAGGCCTCTACTATTGTTACTATAATTTAGGCCAAATATATGAAGGCAAGAAATTGAGGTTRAGAAAGCAGAGATCTTGGTAGTCTCTTATCACCCATACCTTCTCAGCTTTCTGTTAAACTAAAACACCAAGGCCATTCTCAGGTCAAGAACAACTTTCTGTTTACCTTTTTCTCCCTATAAAGGAGCTAGAAAATAGGCCTACAACATAGCAATTCATAAAGCATTTTGGTAGTACTGGGGCTGGGTGGGTATTCTACTAATAGTAATTTCCTTCTTTCCTAACTTCCTTTTTTCTGCCTTCTTCTTCCCTCCTCCTATTTTTTTTTTCACTGCACTATAGTTTTTTATAGGGTGCAGAGAATATTTAGAAAGAAACTTAGACTACTTAAGTCTTTTATTCTTAAGAGGAAAAGAAATGTTTAAGTTTTTAATTCATGAAAACTTAAAAAATGAATGTTATCCTTTCATGTAAAGAATAAGCCACTAAAACGCAGTTAAAAATGACCTCGAATAGCTACAATGAGATTATATGATGAAATGCCAAAACTCTATGCTATTTGCTACTTCATAAAACATGCCACCATGTAGGGTTGGGGATGTTGCTCAGTGTTAAGAGCACCTGCCTATCATATGTAAGGTTCTGGATTTGATCCCCAGCCCCCCACTCCAACACACACACACACACACACACACACACACATTCTCTCTGTCTCATTTATAAAATGCCCCATATGATTATACATGTATGATCACAGTTGTTCACTGAATCTCTCTCCTTTGTGTGAAATCATACTCATTGCCTTTGCCCACAAGCTAATTCAGAGCAAACTTATCATAAATTTGTCTTTATAAAAAATTATAAGCTGACATATCTTAAATACAGAAATACTTTGATTACTTTAGGGAATTTAAAGATTTGAAAAATGGCTATCTTCCCTAAAGCCTACCTTTAAGATTTCTGGTAATTTCATAAATGTATATAATAGAAAACACTGTGTACCTGTTTTATAAAAATGTGATAAGAGGTCCTCTTTTTCAATAAAGCGTTGATAAAGCCAATTGGCAAGGTCATCAGTCTCCAGGGGTACATCTTTAACTGGAAAGATCCTATCAAGGGTTAGGAAGAAAAGGGACAAACTTCTTTAATTCAAAAGTGAAAATCATTTAGAACCACAATTTAGCTTTAGTAATGAAAAACTGAATAAATTTATAGAAAATATCTTTGCTTTTTTTTGGGGGGGAAGAGGATAGCAGGGGCACTTGACCACTGATCCCCAGCCATATATATATATATATATATATATTTGTATTTTATTTAGGGACAGGGTCTCACTGAGTTGCTTAACACCCCACTTTTGCTGAGGCTGACTTTGAACTTGTGATCCTCCTGCCTCTGCCTTCCAAGCCACTGGGATTACAGGTGTGTGCACCATGCCTGGCTCCATCATTGCTTTCTAAGGGTTGGTTTGAACTTCTCAAAGCCTTTTGGCTTTTTTTTTTTTTAACATTTATTTTTTAGTTATAGGTGGACACAATATCTTTATTTTATTTTGTTTTTATGTGGTGCTGAGGATTGAACCTAGCACCTCATGCATGCCAGGCAAATGTTCTACCTCTGAGCCACAACCCCAGCCCCAGGCCTTTTGACTTTTGAAGTTGTTGTTCATTATAGTTCACTTATGTATTTATTCAAACATTCACTAGCCTATCATGTGTTAGGTCCAGTTCTAGAGGCTGAAAACATACTTTTATATTGTCCTAACTTAGAAATTATTACTGAGAATAATTATGTCTTTATATTTCCAGGTGGGAGCAGTATGTAGAACAGATGAACTTTTAAAATGCAGCTAAGCAGAATATGCTCAGTCATTTCACTAAGTACTAGGCATCATGATACATTTTAGCAATGTCCTTTGGCAGGAAAGTCAAACAACCAGATTGAATCTGCCCAAATTTGGTGGCTTTTCAGTAATTACACCATAATAATGGTTTCATGAGTAGGCACTTTCATTGATTGGAAATGGCTACTAGAACACTATTCACCTCTTTTGCCAATTAACTTGGTATTTATCACTATATTTATTCTTTAGTGTTAGATCTTATCTACTAACTTCCTGCCAACAGAAGATGATCAAGTTTCTTCCTATTCTCACCACACATGTGCATCCTTTCCATCATCCTTATCAACTATGCAGTAAATTCAATGAGATATTTAACGTAAAATTTAGGTTCTGTATTATAATCAAACATTYATAGTCAAATCATGTAGTGAATTATGGCCTCTATTCCTTCCTTGCCCATTTTTATTTTCCCTGGATTAAGCAATTACATTATTTTTTATTTATGTAATTTTCTATGTACAGACAACTAATTCAACCACAAGCTCCCAGACAATTGTCTAGAATCAGTTCTCTAGTTTGGGTCCACAACTTTTTCTAAGAAGACTAAAAAGAAAATACTCTCTAGGCTTGCTGGACGTGGTGGCTCATGCTTGTAATCCCAGTGATTCTAGAGGCTGAAGCCAACCTCAGCAAATGAGCACGGGCCTAAGCAACTTAGCAAGACCCTGTCTCAAAATAAGAAATAAAAAGAGCTAGGGATGTGGCCCAGTAGTTAAGTGCCCCTAGGTTCAATCTCTATTTCAAAAAAAAAAACAACAAAAACTTCTAGGCTTTGTTGGTAATTTGGTCTCTGTCATATCTGCTCAATTTTGTCTTGTGATATGAAAACAGAGACAATGTACACATAGATATGCAGGACTATTCAAGTAAAATTTTATTTAAAGACTTTACACACACTCAGGACTTGATGCCTGCAATTTTCATTCTATAAAGTCCTCTTGCTAACATCCTAATGATGCCCTGTACTCCTAAAATAGACACAATATTTTCTATACCTTGTTTTTCTTTTCTCATTTGGATAGAGCACATTCTCCAGTGGTTTCTAGAAAAAGGGTACTTGAAATCTTAAAAGTTTGCAACAAATGTCTTTTTTTCTGTCTTGCTATAGCTTGGATCTTAAATATCCCCCAAAGACCTATATATTGGAGGCGTGGTCCCCAGGAGGTGCTACTAGAAGGTAGTGGAACCTTTAAGAGGTGGGGCCTATTGGAAGACTTTTAGGTCATTGGTGACCTCCTCCCCTTCCTTTCTCTTTGCTCTTTGACTAAGGAATAAGCTATCTTGCTTCACCACATGTTTCTACCATAATGTGCTGCCTTGTCAAAGGCCCAAAAGCAATAGGGTCAACCACTCATGAACTGAAACCTCTAAAACTCTCAGTCAAAATAAACCTTTTCTCTTTAGAAGTTGATTATCTTAAGTTTTTAGTTATAGAGACAGAAAGCTCACACTAACCTAGTTTTCAATCTTGATTGATAATTTGGCTACACATACAATTCAGAGTTAGAAACCATTTTTTCATCTCTTTTGTTGTCCTTTCTGGGAGATTTCTTATTTAATTTCTAAACATTTTACTGAGTTTTTATTTCTTTTATTGCATTTTTAATTTCTAGAACTCATACTGTTCTATGTTCCTTTTTAGAATATTCTATTACAGTTGCAATATCTTATTGTTATGAGAGGTTTTCAAAATTGTAATGGAAAGTTTAAACATTCACAAAAGAAGAAAAAAGGATTGATGAACTCTAATGTATATTATGATTTTTCAGCCACTGTCTTTCCAGTATTGCCTCTGTTTCTCTAAGTCATGTTTTATGTTTGTTTCAGTCTCTATCTTTCAGAGTTCAGGCTGGTTGGATCACTAGTTACCTGGTAATTCACTATTATTTGCTCACATTTATGGATGTTAGCCGAAAGCCCTCAGCATATAAGTGGAGTCCACTGGCTATAAGCCTCACTGATAGTCATCTGGCTGGGCCACATAAAACCGTTTTTCCTCTTGAACTCACCCATTTTCCCAGGGAAAGAGCCTCTGAYTTCCTGCCTCCAGAGGGAAGCTTTCTTGTAGCCAGAGAGGGGGTGGGGCACACAGACATTACTTCACCATGCTGTTTTCATGCTGGGACCTCTGCCTCAGCAGGGCTGCTGCTCCTCAGCACRGTTTCTATTTCTCTAGAGTAATCCTCCCATATTTGCCAGGATAGGGAAAGAATTATCAGTCAGCTGTGGGATATAGGGTAGGGGTTTTTAGTTCTTTCTAAACAGATTTTGACCAGTCTGCCCAAGCTTAGCAACATTTTAACCTCACTTCTATGGGTATTGATGCTGCCAGTCTTTTAGAAGTTCTAAAGTATAAATCAGGTGGGATCCTGGCTTCCCACAGTTGGCTCAGGGTTTTGTCATGTTATTTATTGTTTCATCTGTTTTCCAACTTATCAAGGTTTGTTAACATTGTCTCCAATACTGTTCTCTTCCTTGTGGGTTTGAATCTTTAAAAACCCCATTTAGGGCTGGGGTAGTGGCTCAGTGGAAGAACCCCTGCCTGGTATGTATGAGATGCTGRGTTTAATTCTCAGCACCACATACAAATAAATAAAATAAATAAAATCAACAACTAAAAAATATTTTTAAAAAAGACAACCCATTGAGTGTTATTTTACTGGGATTGGGGGAAAGAGGGAAAATAAACATTCCCATTCTCCATTTTATGGGAGATATGAAAGTAGATGAATTCAATTTTCTTTTTAGAAGCCCTCCAGCTATTTCTGAAAGGTCTAAAATGCTTGTTTTCTCTTTGTCTAGGGTCTACTATTTGCCATTTCTCAAAAGAGTCTAGATTGCTATTTCAGGTTTTGGCCAAATTTGTCAGTTACTTAGTAAGGATTTAAAAATTATAATGATGCATTCCATCATAAAAACAGTAAGCAACTTACATAGTAGAATCAGTAGAACACAATGTTCAGACCAGTCAAATAAATACAAAGGTTTCCAAAACAACAGAGTAACTATACTCCCTCAAAGGCTTTTAAAAAATTGTTCATGTACTAAGGTCATTAGTTCACAATTTGGGGAAAAAAATCAGAAGGAACATTACTTGTGAATTACATTATAATCAGACTCCTTTCTTTTGCTACTTAAATTTTAAAATATCAAATGGGGGTTATTTTAACACCCAAAGTTATGCATTACTGAACAAGAAAAGGAGGAGAGGAAAGAAGGAAAGAGTGTGGTATGAAAAATCTATTAAAGTCAATTTCAAGAACTCATATAGCTTTGACTCAACTTTTGCTTTCAATATGTAAAAGAATGAAAAGGAACCAAATTGTTTCATTTGCATAGAAAATGACTTTCCCAATCTTAACTATCTTTCTATTTCCCAAAATATAAAACTACATTTCTCCAAAGCAATAGTATAGAACTGTTTTGGTTGACTGAATATTTAAATGGAATAGGAGATCTTAAGGTATTAAAAACTTCAAGTTTGGGCTTGCAGCTACTCTGGATGAACAACAGAAAGATGAATTAAACAATGTCTTAACTTATTAAAAATATTGGAATTGCTTGCAGTATATGAAAGTATCCAATAGACTTGTATTTCTTAGCCCTTTTAAGACTTACACTCAGGACAGGGGTGGTTCCCAGCAACTTGGGATCTGAGGCAGGAGTACTACAAATGCAAGGCCAGCCTCAGCAACTTAGTGAAAATCCTGTCTCAAAATAAAAATACACATGAGCTGGGGATATAGCTCAGTGGTAGAGCACATCTGGGTTAAATTTCTAGTACCAAAACAAAACAACAAACCCCTACACTAAGTCATCGAAATATCATTTTAAACGAAATTTTCTATTTCTCCTCTGCCCTCTCCACACCAGGTTCTGATTAAGGTTCATGAAGTGAGTACTCCCTGGCTAATATTCCCTTTTACAAAATAGTGAGGATTTGTAGGGGTGAACCTGGGGACACTTAAAGAGTCTGCTTTTTAGACACAATTAAAACAATCCCAGAAGGCAGTGTGGCATTGTGATTTGCAGACTGCCTGGGATTGAATCCTCACTCTATCATTTGTCAGCTGTGTGTCCTTGAGTAAGCCATATAACCTTGATACGACTTAATTACCTCAACTGTAAAATGGGGCTAGTACAATGATTTACCTTACAAAGTGCTTACAACAGTACTTGGTGTGGGTTAAACACTCATACAATGTC